TATATTTTCACAAACTTATAGCTATTAGTATCATTCATAAAGTTGTGTGCACATACGGGATCCATTACTCGTTTAGTGGTTTAACACTATAATGCTTATGAATACGTTCACATACATCTCACAAACACGTATACATACACATATACACATATACATAGACATATACACGTACACATACACCATAACTCATTCATGTGTATAAATATACATATACAAACATAATACATCACAAGTTGGTGAAAAGTATATGCATTACAATGTTAAACTGTGAAACGAGTACTTGATCCCGAATGGGCACACAACATTTTGAACGATATTAATAGCTACAAGTTGGTGAAAATAAAGATAATCATGTATAGTAGAGGTGTGAAAAAAACGAAGCGAAAAAAACGACGTTTGATGCCCGAAAAATTGAAAATAAGAAAAATCCGTAGTTAATCCGTAGCTACTTAGCTACGGATTAGCTACAGAATTCTTACGGAAAGCATACTCCGTAGCTAATCCGTAGGTACTTAGTATCCGTAGGTATTCTGTAGCTAATTAGCTACGGAATAGCTATGGATTTGCATCCGCAGGTATTCCGTAGCTAATTAGCTACGGAATAGCTACGGATCCGCATCCGTAGCTATTCCATAGCTATTCCGTTACTAAACTAGGACATCCCATTCTGTAGCTGATCCGTAGCGATTCCGTAGCTAATTAGCTACAGAAATTTTCCGTAGCTATTTTCCGTAGGAAAACGCCATGTTTTCTAGTAGTGTTATGATTAATTTTCTTCATGTAAAATGGTTAGGTGTCCTATAACCAATTATCGATAGTGGTTCCTCTAATTAAACAAGTAGCAAAATGTGGTGTTTGGTGACGTACGTAGCATTTTGTTTTAGAAATATTTACAATAAAAGCTGACTAATTAAAGGTCTGCTGGTTTCAAACAATCTTACTAGCAATATGCTTAGACGAGCTCCAGATCCAAGACCACTCCATGTCTTGCCTACTACTCGTTTGGAATAAATAAATAAGAATAAGCAGAGATTTATTATCGAAGTAATCTATTAAAAGTCAAAAGACCCAAGAGTCACCGACGTGCGGTCCTTACAAGTTACGTACATCACAAAGTACATTTTACCTTCAAAAAGATTTGTTTTAACGTAGAAATCATACAATATGAGTAACACAGTACACCCAATAAAACTTCGTGCACTATTCTGCATAGTAGCAACACTTTTGCCACTTCTGTTAAAGCTTAAAACACCCAGCATTTTGTTATCACACATTTAGCGATTTTGTTACTTCTTTAAAGAAGTTGCATGATGTTTATCTGCTGACGCAGTTCTCACAGCCTGGAACCTTGGTTCTTTTGGGAGAAACTTTTGTTCCGTATACACAGACATGTAGTCACCAAAAAGAAACTTTGGGTATCCAAATTTAACCTCTTCGTTTTCTAATTTCTTGACAAGTTGGGTTGCAGGTTCAATGGTTGCGTCATAGGAAGGATTATAGAATGAGGCTATAGATCTCCTAGTTTTGTTGGCTTTAGCATTAACACGATGCCAGACACTCTTGTATCTACCGTTGCTCAACACTTCTATTTGGTCACCGGTGTTGATGACAATGGAATTTGGGATTGGTTGCACATCAATCCATTCACCATCTTTAAGAATCTGTAGACCGTCGACCAAGTCATCCTGGAAAAGAAGGACGACACCTCCAGCATCGGTGTGCGCACGTAGCCCACTCACCATTTCAGTATGAGGGCATGGTGGGTAGTGACTTACCTTAGTCCCAAAGAAGGCGTTGTCTTCCTCTCCACCATTAAAAGCCTTCTTTATGTACCCCTTTGGTATTCCTAAGTTTTCATCCATTGTTTCCATCAGCTTCTCCGCCAGTTTCTTGACCTCTGCACGGTATTCTACCATGGCTTCCCTATTATATATTCATTCCATTGACAATTTAGATGTTATACATAAGACATCATATACATAGTCTTTTGTGTCATTTGTAATACATGGATAGTAGTATTCATCAACTCTTACTTGAATCCTGGGGTCTTTAATGGCCATTCATTATCGTCTGAGAGGAGGAATACGTCTTCCCAATCGATGTTTTCCAGCTTGTCCCCACTTTTCTTGTCGATTAACTCCTTCAACAACTTTACTGGTGCGGAGTTCTTGAAAAAGTTATCTTCCCTCTCTTGCTTGTAGCACTCAGAGCTCACCATCTTCACCCTCTCCAGAAGGTCTACTGGAATCCCATGATTCACCAACTGCACCCAAAAAAAAAACCCAACAATGCTTGATGCAGTGAATATGTATTTCATTATCTCTATGAATTTAGAAGTTGGATGTGTACCTGAAAGAATCCCCATTGTTCACATCCATTTGCTATCTGAGCCATTGTCTTGGCTCTCCCTTCGCCGTTGAGCTTTGAGAAGTCAATAACCGGAATCGTCATTTTTAGGGAGGAAGAAGGTTTACACTTTCTTGAGTCTGAAAATCTTAAACTGGTGTGGTAATAATAGATCGGTTATCGTATTTATAGGCTTTTTGACCCTCTCATCACATGGAAAATGTCAACTCAGTTATATTATAATACTTTGTTCAATGAAGTAAGGTTTCTTTCTCGTCGATTTTGAGTGACAAGGAAGCTAGGTCAATGATACGGTTGGTGCGTGGCAAGGCCAGCATGGGTGATGGCCATTTTCTTTTATGTACATACTTATATTATTAGAAAAGATTATATATGTGTGTTTGGTATTAACCTGTTAGGTGTCGTAGATAGCAGGGAAAAAAAGATAAAACGGAATTGCAGCCCTCCTTTATATACTTCAAATAATTACTATTAGGGTCTAGTTTTTTTATTTTGTTCGGGGCTCAAATAAGTTTCGATCGGCCCTACAATTATTCCGGTGTGGTGTGAAAGATTACAATAAAATTAGAATATATCATTATATATACCTTCTTTACATTTATTACCATTTTATTTTTTAACAGCAACAATTCATTACTGTCTACCATTTAGTTAGAGATGTGTTAGTTTATGAGTTATGTTTTATGTCAAAGAAAAAAAAATTCAAGATTTACCTGACTCGCCGAATCGTCGGAAGTGCTAGTTTATCAAGTTATCCAAATTTAAGTTTATGAGTCTGACCAATCGTTTATGACACAAACCAAACAAACAAATGACATGCATACATGCGTAATTATATATTGTCATATTTCCTTTTTATAGGAAACCATGCACACATTCTCTTTGACAATCTTTTTCGTCATAAATAATCAGTTTGACGAGGTCAATAATTAAACATAATTTCTATCTCATTAGCAAACGGAATCTTTAATTTGATGGTGTGCAACACAAGAACATAGCACATAATTCATCACTGATAAATAATTATTCAAATTAGAAAATGAGTTAAGTTTATTTATACTTTTTGCAATGAAATAAAATTCGTCTTAACAATGTTTACATGAATGAACATAACCAGTTGAATATATGAAAAAAAAAAAACGGCCAAACAAATTTCTTCTTTTCATGTGACTACTTGTTTTTCGAAAAAGAAAACGATATATTATAAGAGAGACTCGTGAGATGTCAATGGTTAAAAGCTCATATGTAGGCTTATCAATCCATCCATCCTAATTCAAAGACAAAAACTCGTTAAGGCCATGGGATATGATCTTCACGTCTAAGCCATGATGCCTAGTTGGAAGGCTGATCATGCAGTGTATACTGTCACCATAAGATTGTGATGCTTAAGTATAGTGATGAACGGTGATGCCCTTCACGCTCAATCACACCTATTTAATGTAAATATTTTTTCACAAAAATGATTTTTATAATTACTACCTTTCTACCACTTCTATTCACACATACTTAACCTAATTTTCTCTTAAACGCTACCAATTTCTAAAAAATGAATCTAAATTTCAACATTGGCCATCAAATAAAAATCATTTGGTAAGTTCAACAACCGAATTAAGATTCAAGAATCCTTTCACGCTAAACAGCTCAGCACCGCCTTTCTTTCTATTCAACTCAAATTCACCTTAAGTTGGCTTTACCAACTAAGTCAATTCACCCCAACAAATTCATCCCCAAATGCAAGTTTTAAAACCAAATCAGTCCCCAAAACCCTACTCGAACCATCGAGTTGACGTAAGATGTAACGCCCGTATCAACAGGTATATTTCTTTAACTTAAAAATTGTGAAGTTTTGGTTTTGGGTGCTCTACATAGGGCGTAGGAAGGTCTCTTACGCAAGGTGTAGGGGCATAAGTGAATACGGGATTGGACCACCCTACGCAAGGCGTAAGGTTTCGTACGCCCAACGTAGGCATGTAATGAGGAAATCCTAATTTTCGGGGTTTTGAGCCCTATTTAAGTACTCTAACCCCTAGAAGCCTTTCTTATCATCCACCTCCACCCTCTTTGATGCCCAACTCGAAACCCTAATTCTCTTGAGCTAGATATTTGAGCCTCTTGGTTGTTTTGTGGTACATTTTCAAGAAGGAGAAGCCCATCTTTCAAGCTTGGTGAAGCTCAAGCATGTAGATCCATAGCCTTCATTTAATTTTCCAACTCCAGAAGGTATAAAGCTTTCACCCTGATAATTCATTGAGTTAGATCTTGTTAGCTTCTTGGTTTTCTTGTTTATTGTCCCATGATTTTGGTTCTTGTGAGTATGAGCTACTCTAGGCCTTAGGGTTGCCATTTCCTGATGTTTATCAGGTTGTTAAGTCATATAAATGGGATCTTGGTTGCTATCTTTTACCCATGCAAGAGTTTTTGGTCTTTAGAGAATGTTATGGGACTAGGGTTTGCCTTTGAGCTCCATTTAGCCATGCAAAGGCATAAAGCCAGAGACTTTATCACTTAAGACGTTTATTAGGACCATATATGAGCAATAGGTGGTTGATATTTATGGATTAAGAGCTAAAAATAAAAAAGGACTTAACATCGTCCTACATTGGCGTAAAATGGGCTACGCTCAGTGTAGCCTATGCTTTCTGTGACATTTTATTTAGCCCTCTACGCGGGGCGTAGAGGCATGGTATACGTCGGACATAGCACCAGAAAGTGTATTCGGTCAAAATTGGACTTTTAGTCAAGATGAGTGGGGTCTAGCCTTGGAAGGGTAAAATGGTATTTTATACTAGAAAGATAGAATGTAATTAGGACCCTTGATTCTAGTTTACCACCTTAACTATTAATTAGGGTTTGGTTTTGGATATGCTTAGTAGGAGGGATTTTAGCACTGCAATTCATGTGTGAGATCTATTTGTTTACCGATTGAGGTGAGTCTTCTCAGTATAATGTAGGACACCAGGTGTTGTTATGTTATTGTTGTCTTTGTGACTCTTACTAATATACCTGTATGTTATATGTATGTGGGGTAAAATACGTCCGGGGATGAATTAGTCCCGTTTGGTTGAAAAAAATCAGTTGATTTGAAATAAACTTAGGGGTGAAATAGACCCGTTACAGCTTCGAACTGATATATATGTATTGTATGCGGTATTTTAGGGAACTCGCTAAGCTTTGTGCTTTCGGTTTCTTGTTTACATTTCAGGTACCTCTAGTTCCAAAAGGAAGAGCTCGACCTGATTGCATCGCATGCACCAATGTCCCGCATTCTATGAATTCTTTTGTACTCTGATAACTATTTGATATATTTTTATACTTTGATGGGTTTTTGGAATGAATGGATGGTTGTTTTGATTGACTCAAAGAAAAAAAATTACTTAGTATTTTTGGGACATTACATATGCACTCTAAAAAGAGCACTAGTTGTGACAAACAAATTTGGAGTGCAAAGGAGGAAGAGGAATAACTTTTTGCTTGGGTCATCATTCATAAGGATAGCAAAAGAGGAAGCACACAAAAAGTGGGTGCTTTGTAGGAGAGAATCACGACCAAATTCCACAACATAATTGGTTGGGAGCGCCAGAGTACTTACCAAATATCTTCAAAGTTCCTAGATTTGAAAGAAAAATATTACCAAATTCTATAATATTTCGAACAACTTTTGGCACAAAAAAGGAATGGTGCCAATGACATGGTATTTGTGTTCTTACTGAATGGATGCGTTGTAACTTAGAAGAGTATCAAGCATGACATCATAGTTGACTGAGAAAAGAAGTCTGAGTATATTGCAACAAATGAGACAGCTAGAGAAGCCATGTGGATGAAGAAGTTCATTAGATGTTTTGGTGTTTTATCTATATATAAGGTCCTAAGGAGATTTACGGTGAAAACGAGAGTGCATTCACTTTAGCTAAAGAACGCATTTCACATAAACACTCACATCATGTACTTAGGAAATATCATTATGTTCGGATGGTTGTTGCAAGTTAAGATATTGTAGCATACTCATAATGAGCCTAAAAGTTTTTTGCTCTTTTTAGTGAAAAGCATTTTTCTGAAAAATTAAAAAAAGATTAATTAATAAAATATACAAAAAAATATAAAGATAGAAATAAATTCAAAATCTATTAGATTCAAATTGAAGAAGTTATGTTATAAGGACCAAATTTCCAATTCTTGAAATTTGAGATTTGACTTTTGTTTACGAAATAGGACGTGAAAGTCGTAAATCTTATGGGAAGTTAGCTTCCAAGTCAAAATGGTGTTAGTTTGCAATATTAAAAACTTTGGTGGTAAAATATTGAGTTATGAAACTTAAAAGGACCTCTAGATCATTCATTCATCCCCTATTTCCTTCTCACTTGATTGATATTCCAACATTAGGTTTCTTTTTGTACGATTTTCCTCGCATTTCCATGGTGGTTTAAAGGTTGCAAATTGACTTTTTGTACATGATCAAAATTATTCATATCTTAATTTTAACGTAGCTTCTCTTTTAGGGTTTGTATAATTATAAAATTCGAGTTTCATGTTTCTTGTATTATATGTTCATATCTAGTTATTATTCTAATTCTAATTCATGATTCAACAAACAACTTTCATTTTGGTTGTTAGATTTGAGATTCAAGGAGCTTTAGGGGATAATTCTAACCCTAGCTCTATGAATTTCTAATATAATGTTTGAGTTGTGAATCCATGATTTTTTTTGTTTATTTAATGTGTTTATATCATTATTCATGCTTAAATTTGCCTTTTTTATTTCCACTTGTGTTTATATATGTTTTAATGGAGTTTTTTTTCCTAACCCTAGATTCTGAAATTACTGATTTAATTTTCATTTGGTGTTATTAACTTTTTTTAAACTTGATTCATGTATTATATTCCAAATCTAAGGTCACGGTAGTAGTTCATTTAAATCTATGGATTTATTGGTGATATTCATGCTTATATGTTAACTTTTGAGTTTGAATTCGATCAAAACATCATATATTGTTATAATCATGATTTGAAGAATGTTAAATTGGCTCTAATATGCTTTTAAGTTATTTTGAATCATCATGGATATCAATTAGGGAGTGAAAATCTAAACTAATGTCATGTTTGGAGTTTTAATGCACAAAAATAAAGAAATTGAAA